AATATAATGTATGTAATATATATTAGCACAAAAGGTAAAGAAGTTTGTGTTTGGTAGATTATTTCTTTTTTGTAACAATGTTTCTTGGTAATAGACCTTATAGTGGGCACCTGACTGGCAGCACCTGGGGGTATCAGAAGCACAAAACTTGGCAGCAGCAGAGAAGATTTGGCTTTTTTTTTCTTGTGCGCAACCCACATACTCAGCTCTACTGCTCACGCCACAAATGCATGTTCCTTACAAATGTGGCACCATTTAAAAGGTGAAATTACCAGGCTTTCCAACCGTATAAGATTTATTGCCAAGAAGCATTGTTACAACCAAGAAATTGTCTACTAAACTCAAATTTCATTACTTTTTGAGCTAACTTTATAATTAAAACTGTAAAATAAAGAGATTTTGACCAAACCATCAGTCGGTGTCTTGTCTGATCAAAAACAAGTTCTTGTTTTTTCACAGTCGCCAAATCTTGGGAACCATTTTGGTGAGTAAAACGCTATAACACTTACAGCCCTAAATGGCAATTATGATGGTTATAATTAATAATAAATACATAGATTTTACAGCGTAAGAATATCTGGACCTGTACTGAAGGTTGACTTGACTCAGGGAGTTCTGCCTTGGTTCTATAAAGGCAACTGTGCCACATACTGAGTCACTGAGTTTAACAAAATGGAAACTTGACAGCGTCTACCAGTAAGTGGACGATGTCATTTCTCTGTAAGGAAATTCCATTGAGCTGAATTAACAAGTTGACAGCCAACACAGTCTCCATTAGAAAACTTCATGAGGCTTTTTGTTCAGATAAAACATTGACGTGTTTGAGCTGAAGTGTGCTAAGAAACACTTGTGTAGCATGACCATTAAATGTATATAAAGAGGCAAACTTACGTGTTATGCAAATGCAAAGCAAGCTGTTTGGTCTGTTAATGTGTTAAAAAGTAGGTGATTTGTTCTTGAAATAGTTCCATTAAAAAAGAAAAAACACAGCTAAGCAGTTCTTTTTAGTTTTTTGTTGTCTGCTAGCTAACAACATAACTTGATCCTAGCTCACGACATCTTAAAGGTGCGACAACATAATTTTCTGCACGACTGCTTTTACCAGCTGCTTTGTTGCTAACATGTCACACTGACGACGTGACAGCATCAGTGTTGTCTGGTTACAGACGAGCTCCGGACCGTAAGCTGGTGAGACACTACCCGAAGTACCCCGACTGCAGCTGTTGAGCTTGTTAAGAATTCATGGTCTGCATGGTAACGCTGTACACAAAGTGGCTCTGTAACAGGAATCTGAACAATGTTTAACAGCTTCCATTACAAATAGTAGCAGAACTAAAGAAACGTGTAAAAAAACCAACAAAAACTTAGATTTGCAGGGAAAATTTGTTACAGTTGCACTGGAAACAACTGTTTTTTTTACCCCAACATATGTTTCTCCTGAGCCTTTGATCTATACATTATACATTCTTCATCATAAATAACAGCAATATAATCTGTAGAACCGTCAAAATAGTGACGTTGAAACAATAAATATGTAAAATACGTATTTCTTTTAGAAAAAGCATTAAAACTAGAATAGTAAACCTAATTAAAGCCAGAATTAGACAGTGTAAAATGTCACAAGTTCCTGGAATATTTTATGAATAAAAACCTATTTATTGCAGCTGAGAGTGTTTTACATATTTTCTAACCTAAGAATGTGAATACCTGCGTGCTGACCTACTATTTGTTTTAAACAAGAGCAAAAGCAAATTTTACCAAACATCCCAAAAAAATGCACCGGTTGTGGATGATCATTTCTTCTCTGAACTCAATCCGTTTTCTGTAAATGCAATGCAGCCCGTTGGTTACCTTCTGCAGATCTGCTATGGCCTGTTTCAGAGTCTTAGCCTCCTCAAAGTTCTCCTGTCGAACCACCTCCTGCTTCTTTTGGTCCAGGAGACGAATGATGTGAGCAACCTCGGGGTCCTGGTACATACCGAAGGCCAAGTCATCGAAGGGGGAGACGGGCTCACATTTTCTGATCCAGAAAAAAAAAGACACAAAGACAAACATTTGAAATAAATACTTGGATCAAACCGTTGTCTTTATCCACATTTTCCTGTCTGGGTGGCCGAGGGGACACTGGTTCCTATGTCCAGCAGTCACTGTGGGCAGGTCACAAGTCCATCACATAACCAAGTACTTGGATAAGCCAATTATATTGGTTTACTATTAAATTACTTAAAGAAACAAGGAGTATAATCAGTAATTATCAGTATCAGTGCTTCGCAAAGCTTCAAATTGCATATTTAATCTATTCCATTAAGTCAATCACCAAAACACATCCACTTTACCATCAAAAACAAATAACATAACCATGAAAAGTATTCAAACAGAAGACCTTTAAATGGGTAGTTTTTCCTCCAAATTAAACAAACTGATTACACTGATAAACAAAACAAATACAAAAAATATTATCTAACAGTTAAAAACTAACTGATCAATTGTTTAACTTTAATGGAAAGACTTGTTCCCAATTTAAAAACAGTGTTTTTATTATCAGTTAAATGTGCAAGCTGTTGTGCAATTCCTCACCAAAGTGGGAAAAAAGCACTTAATGATTCCCCCCTAATCCCTCGCAGGGGGGTGGACTTTGAGGTGGAACGTCACCGGGGGTTTGATACAATAAAAAATATGTATATTTCAAAATGTTTTTTTTATTTTGCACAGACCACCACCTGCATTGCCTTAAAATGGTTCTTTCAAACTCAAAAGCTTTGTTGAGCAGTGTTATCGTCACGAAACCAAAAAAAAAAAAACTAAAAAACACAGGGTTCAATGGCCTCGCCTCACCCCATGAAAGTGGTGTCCAAGGCGGCTTCCTGCTGGGTACTGTTGAGGTAGTGTTCAATCAGCTGCTCTCTGCTTGGCTGGGGGGCAAACAGATGGACAAATTGAACACACACATGCATACACTGTACACTTTTGCAATACTGTGTGACGCCAAAATGCAAGATCTGACTGATGGTTTTCAAACAAACACTTTGAGGAGACCTTTAAGTTAATCTATTGGGTAATAAACAGCAAGAAGGAAAAAAAAGTTGCTTACATAGGCTTAAAATAACAGACTCATTCTACCTCCCTAAACTAAACCCAGTCATTTCTCAGTCCCTAAGAGGGTTCAGCAATCCCCTTCAGATACTGCTATCACCTTGAAAGTTATTAAGAGCTAATTATTAATGGAGCAACAACATTATTTGCTTACTTGGTTTTCACATTACAACACAAAAGCTGCTTTTCACATAAAAAGCTCTTTGTTAAGCACCACTGCCTGTTAGCTAAAAATTATTTAGAACTAGAAAATTTGCATTGCAGGGTGAATGCTTAATGCTGAAAGATTTTTGCTGGATAGCTAAAAAAATAACTGAAATAGCTACAGGAAACAACTAGCTGAAATTAGCACATAGGAACATAACTGAAAAAAGCAGTAAGAAGCTAAAATTCTCACAAAAAGGTGAATTTAGCTGAAAATAAATAATAAAAAGAATATCTAAAAACTAAAGAAAAAAGAAAAAACAGCTGAAAATAGCAGAAAACAGCTGGAATAGAACATAAAAAGCCTAAAATAACAGAAATTATGGCAAAAAGTTAAAATTAGCAGATGAATAGCAGAAAAGATCAGAATGATAGCTTAAAAAAGCTAACATCAGCAAAACCAGAACAAAGCGGTACAATGTACAGTAAATATTTATACACATTTTAAAAGGTTTTAATGATGTTGAAAACAGCTCCATTCAGTTTCATATAGAAAAACATGGTTGAAAAGCTAAATATGTCAAAAAGTATTAATTACTGAAGTACCAACGGTCATAACAGGAATGTCCAGAAGGAGCTGAACGTTTTGATGTACAAATGGTTGAAGTAGAACAAAAATTGCAGAACAAGATACATGTCCAAAAAATATACAGAAGAAAAAAAATATCTCAATAGTGTGAACGCTTGATAGGCTTTCACACAATTACAAATGTTCACCATGTAAAGTACAACATAAACAGAGGATTTTCTTCAAAGTATAGAAAGGCCTAGAAATTTTACAGTAAACGTATTAGTAAAACACTTTCAACAGGAAATGAAAACATAAGTCATATTTCCTACATTTAAAACACATTGCCAGTTCATCAGAATTTCTACATTAGTAGTAACTTTAAAGGTTATTGTTGCCATATAAACAATAGTGTGCACAACATTTAGATTATACTAACAAATCTTAAAAATGTGTAAACGCTTGTTGACTCATACCTACAGAGCATGCATGGAACCAAATTCATGAGCCACATGAAAACGCACACAGACACATTGTTTTCTGCGTGTGACCCAGAACAGAATGTCAAAGTTCACAGATAAACACAGGGAAATCAAATATCATGCTATAAACACCAACATCAGGCTTTAATGAATACATCAATTTCAGCTGTTCATCTATCAAACATTATGTTAGCAAATGTTTAGAGAAGTAATCAATCAAACACTCTTTAAACCTGAATCTGACTCAGATAATCCTTAACTTCAGGTGGGATGTTTTGATATACGGAGTGCACAGCATATCAAGAAGATAAAGATAAAAAGGGATAAACTTACTATGGTTTTAGTTTTGAAGTATTCTGTAAGACTACAAACCAAAAAATATGACAGCGTCGTGCATAAAATCGAGTTTTTCCTTGAGCACCAAATGTGTAGCGTGCACATACAGGTTGTCTTATGTGTTTACTTTAATCAATAATTCTCATAGTTCTCATAGATATAATGCACGTGTGTCAGGAGTTGAGTTGTGTTGTTGAATTTAACCTATGCTTCTTCAGCATTTAGTCTGAAAATAACTTCCACAATTACACAATTATTTAAAGCTTAATATAGTTCATAGACACATCATTAACTCTGGAACAACCAGACACTGGTTTAATATGTTGCATGCTGAGGGCGCTGTATAAACAAAAGGTGTTAAGCGTGATGTTAGTCCGAAAGCAAACAGAAAAGTGGGGTAATGGCCTGCCGATATGAATGAAGTGAAGTTGGGTTGTTTCCATTTTACACCAAATAATAAAACCTTTCTCTATATATTCACGCCATAGTTTCCTTTTACAAGACGAACACGACATCCAGCCACGGAGCAGCAGAAACAGGAGAACAAGCTCCCATCCGACTCTCCAGGCAAGATCTTTGCTGCGATGGAGGTGCTCGGTGGGATTAAAAAAAGCAACAATGCAAAGCCTGTTCGCTGGAATCTGTGCGTGGGGGTGTCCGTGTCTTTGCATGTATTTCTGCGTGTGAGTGTGTGCGTGTGCATGTGTGTGTGTTTAGGTGCTCTCCCTCTTTCGAGAGCCGTCCGTCTGCAGGACTATCTGATTACAGCGACTGACTGTAGGCCTTCCTCCAGTTAGATTACATACTGCCGTCCTTTTGTGTTTCATTACCACACGTCTGACACACACATATATGCATAAATACATGTATGAATACATGCACAATGCCCAGGTAAACATGTGCAAATAAAAACTGTTATATATCTTAGCTATGTGAACGTGGGATGAACTGTAGGTTAAATTAAGAACTTCATTCGCATTATATTGTATAAATCTTAATTTTGTCAGCCCTCTTTAAGTATTCTAACAAAAAAATAGGAGTTTAATTTGACTACAAGTAAAAGAAAAACATATATTATATAAAAGAAACACCATGTAGTAACACACCATCAGTGCATTACCACTATAATAAAAGTGTCATACTAGATTTAATCTGAGTTGATCAATATTGACACACCAATTAACCCTAATATGAGCGGCTGAGGAGATGGTTATGGAAGCTCAACACCTCCCCCTTCTGTTGCTAAAATGTAAATTCAGCATCCGTTAACATGAAGAGGGAGGTAACTTACTGTTGTGTTAAAAAAACTGCCATCCAAAGAATCTCCCAGAAGATTAATGGCAACCAAAGCAACCTGAAAACACAAAGGGATGTTGATGGTGAAGTAACTATGAAAAAAAAACTTGATTATTATTATTTAATGATAAAGCAATGATAAGAAGGTTACTGTGGATCTTACTGATTTCTAGGGGTGTAAGAAAATATTGATACACTGAAATATCGCGATATTTCATTTCCTGATACTGTATCGATATTCTAAAGCCCTGTATCGATTTTTAATTAAGGTTTAAAATGTCAACCTTCTTGCCAACCGTTCATTTTTGTGTTATAGTTCAGCCTCTGACCACTAGTTGGCAGCAGTGAGCCAGCTATTTGGCTCCTCTACCTCTTGAGTGCCAGAGAGTAAGGGTAGCATTAGTATTGTAAGTAAACATTAGCTTTTCCTTTTTTTTTTTTCAGTAAGAGGTTTTTATTTAATAGAATTTTTGGAAAAAAAAATCGCAATATATCGCAATATAATGCCTTGCTAACAGTATCGTAATTTATCAGGATATATTGTATCGTGACCCCTCTGTTATGATATGTATCGTATCGCCAGTGTCTTGCCAATACACAGCCCTACTGATTTCAGTACAAAAATAAAAGCTTTATAAAATATCCTATCATGCACAAGTAAAATCGAATAAATATAAAAATATTTAATTGGATATTGCAGTGATTTCAGACTAATTGCTCCTGAAACGAAGCAACAGACACAGATGATCTACTGTATCATATATGTTTAGAAAAACACAAAGACCTGTAGACAAATATTAGTCCTACTGTAATAGTAGAAAACACCATGTTGAATTATATTAAACACAACTTCATATTAGAGCATTAACAAGCTATGAAAAATAGGCCTTATATATGAGTACCTGATTGTAGTGATTGTAACGATTGTTATGGTTCCTGTGGAAGGTTACTCTCAGGTACATTCCGATGGCATCCACATGGACTGACTTCAGCTCCCGCGCTTTAAAACCTGTCTTCTCGTTATTTGACAGGGACACATACCTGTTGTGACAGAGCGGTTTGTTGATTAGAATTTAAATTTGAGATCCTTATTTTGCAGTCTGACCTGTCAATCTAAATTTTCTCTTGTTAAAAAAAAAACTAGAGTAATCAGCATCCAAGCGTGGGTAACTCACATGTCCAAACCATCTCAGTCTGGCCTCTCTAACTTTATCTCTCGGTTATTCAATCTGTACTGCACCAGTGACGATCTCATTCCTGAACCTATTCATCCTCGTCACTCCCAAGAAGAACCTCAGGCCTGGCTCCTGTCTTTCTGTCAGTGCCACTCTCTCCAGACCACTCAGCATAGCTTGTAACCCTTTTTACTTTGACCTTTTATCACAACTTACTCCTGAAACTTTTCTCCATCCACTCCATCCTACCTTGACTCTCGTCTTCGCCTCTTTACCCCACTCCCTACTTTCTGCAGTGCCAGCTCTGCATCAAAAAATCCTAAATTAAATCCAGTTTGAGGTCTCACCCGAGTCTCTGAAGCTGCCCAGAGGACCTTGAAGGGCTGGTTTCAGGAAGGCTGTCGCCAATATGAAATTCAACCTTTGCTGGGATCAGGTACTGGTGAGCCAGAAGCTGCAGCTTCCTTATCCTACTTCTCTCCACCAGCTGGAGGGTGATGTGCTGAGGATAGGAACACAGCCTGTAGAATATAAAGAAATGTATTATTTATTTATTAATAAGCATGATTTTAAAAAAAGGAAAAAAATTGTATAGGTCTTCTGGACGGGTTCTTCTCTAATGAAACGTTTCTTTTACTACGTTAGGTGTCAACGATAGCCATGTGATGTGAGTATCAGTCACATGGAGGCAGTGCTTAAAAGCCTGAATTTTGCCCGAAACTCTCAGACTGAAGAAGTCTCTTGGAGAAGAGACGAAACGTTTCATTAGAGAAGAACCCGTCCAGAAGACCTATACAATTTTTTTCTTTTTGATTTTTTTACCTGGATTACTGAGATGCATCAAGACAATAAGCATGATTATTTATATTACTGATTTTAAAAAAGGTAGGTAAAAGAGTTCATCGTTAAATTTTCTAGTCTCACATTTTACCTTATGTACATATTGAGAATATTGCTAGAAGCTCACTTTTGAGTACACCTCCCTTCCATTTGACCTCTCAAATATGAAAAGCTGTAGGTCAGCATTGCAAATTATCTAAAATTATTTAAAAACCGCTTTAAGTGCACTTACTTCCTGAAAGTACAGCTTCGTTTTAACGTACCTGTTGGACCTCCAGCCGTTGACTGTGGGTGCGTGGACCATGAGCTCCTCGGCACTGAAGTTGTCTTCATGACTTGAAGAGCTGACCACAATAAATCCTAACTTCTTAGGCATTCCTCTGGTGGACACTAATGAAAATAAATTAAAAACAAGATTTTTTTTATTACTCTTATTATTTATAACAAAAAATACAGTACCAGTCAGTCACAATAAATGTTTTTTTTTGGTACAAATCTTGACTGCAGTAACTGTGCTTTAGATATCCTGATGCATCTCAGTAATCCAGGTAAAAAATCAAAAAGAAAAAAATTGTATAGGTCTTCTGGACGGGTTCTTCTCTAATGAAACGTTTCTAATGAAAGCAGCCACTGTTCAAAAGAATGTCCCAACACAGACGAGCTACATCTAATGGCCAGAACTCTGCAGTTTTCACTCATTTACAGGCCAGCGGTCACTCTTTCAGAGATGAGGATGTTCTCATTCTCGATAGAGAGGAACGTTGGTTTGAGAGAGGAGTAAAAGAAGCCATTTTTGTGAAGAAAGACGTCCATCATTAAACAGAGGTGGAGGTCTCCGTTTTCAGTTGTCCCCCTCCTACAGCGCTGCTATTGCCAGTATCACTCCACCCCCTGTTAACAATAGTGTTAATTAGGTGTCAACGATAGCCATGTGATGTGAGTATCAGTCACATGGAGGCAGGGCTTAAATGCCTGAATTTTGCCTGAAACTCTCAGGCTGAAGAAGTCTCTTGGAGGAGAGACGAAACGTTTCATTAGAGAAGAACCCGTCCAGAAGAGCTACACAATTTTTTTGTGCTTTAGATAGTTAGGAAAGTGCATGAAGTGTTGTTAAACTAATGACTCAGAAAGAAAGTGACGTTTCCTACCACATGACAAATTCAAACCAAGGAAGTTGTTCTTTTAGTTTCTCCCTTCTTCAGGAGTCGCCACAGCGAGCAAACTCGCTTGAAAGATTTGGCAATTGTTCTACGCCAGATGCCCTTCTTGACACAACCTGGGCTCGAACCTGCAGGACTCGACTTCGGCACTGACCATGGAGCTTCCGCAGGTCCTGTTTCAAACCGAGAAAGAGCACATTTTTATATCTGAGTATCCCATTTTTATTTTTAGTGGCACTAAAATGTCTCCTCATCACAAAGGAGTTTAACTGAAAACTGACAAATGATGTTGAATTTTGTTTTTTTCCCAGTTGTGGTTGAAAAAAAGTGTTCCAGATATAAATCGTCATTTATAAAAGTGCTCTCATAAATTAGTGTTTCAGCATTTGAGTGTGCTTGCTTTATTTTCTATGGAACATTTTAACTGAAAAGTATTACAGTTTAATTCTCTCGGCCAAGTTATTATACTGTTTGGTTTTTAGTAATAAACCTGTACACACTGGTCCTGACAAATTCTGGAAAGTCTAGGAGGCTTCTAACTGGGACACATATGTATAAATGCAGGCAAATGGAACACCCACAAAAACAGATGGGTCATTCTAAGTTAAAGCTTAATTATTCAGCTATTTGTAGTAGTTAATTTTCGATGTAAATTTCCTTCACCTTAATTTCGGAACAGACAACTTGGGCAGACAGCAAAAAAAATAAAAAATAAAAAATAAAAAAAAAATAAAAAAAAAATAAAAAAACAGTGTGTCAAGGCTTTTTAGCGTTAACTCGAAGCCTCATGCTAGTAAAACTGTTATGTCAGGTATAACGCACAGATTTTTGGCATAAAGTTCGCGTCAATTATTTGACACAAACCGAATATTACACATAACATTCTTAAACAGGACAAATAACCCATTTTTTTGCAGACCCGAATGTGTTAAATAGGGTGTGGGGAGGTTTAGCTAACATATTAACAGTACCGGTATTGTTGGGAAATTCCAGCACTGGCTGTGAAACAAAATTCAGTATCTACAAATTTTCTTAGGTTGTTTATTTGCAAGCGTACATTTTTAAGTAAATTTACATTTTCTCGTGCCTTTCGAAGATACTTTACCAGCAATTTCACCGTCTTGTTGACAGCTCGTAGTTCCATCTCATCTCCATAACCACCACTGACAACAACCATTCCTGACATGCGCAGTTGTAGGTCAGCCTCAAGGAATTGTGGTCCATGTAGTTTATGTATTTATTTATTTAGATTTCTGTTTTTGGTGTTTGTATTGTTATTGTTTATTTGCTTGACTTAGAAATTAGAAGAGACTCAAGAAATTATAGTCTATGTTTTTCATGCTATTTTAGTCGTTATTCTGTTTTTGTTTATAAATGTAAGGGTTACAAATTAAGTTATTGTATTTTGGGTTGATTAATATAAAATAAATTTGGTTGTTTAAACAGTGGTTGTTTACATTTATGAGCAGAATTATTATTTACATATTTACAACATACAACAGCATAGTTAAATAAGCTGAATCTGCTTTTGTGTTTTACTTGTTTTGTTTACCTTATAGCTAGCTTCTGATTGGTTGATTTCGGACATGTGATGTGAGGACCAGGAAGTGTTGTGATGAAGTGTTATTTATTTATTGTTTTCGTTTATGTCTGATTTAATGATTACATATTTCGGTAACAAGTAAAGATTAAAAAATATATACTAACTAAACAAACCCGGAAAAGCGTCAAAAGAAAGAAAATAAAAAGGAAGTTGATGAAAGGGGTTGTCAAAATAAAGGCTTGACAAGTACGTATATGACACTAAGTTATAAATCACATGTTTTATCAATATATAAAATACATTTTAAGTAATTTAGTAGTTGTTTGAGGTAGATAAGTACAATATTTTTCTTCCACAAAGCGATATCCTTTAAGTTAATGCCTTATTTTGAAAATATTATGAAAGAAGTCGTGTATATTAGCTTAGCAGGCTTCATCCGTTTTCTACAGCGGCAGCATGGATGACACGGAGAATTGGCCAGAAATAGAAAAAGCAGCGACAGAGAAGAGGCGTGAACTGGTTTTACAGGGAGCCGCTGTTGATGGGAGAATTTCCGCTAACGGCGGACTGACCTCCTCGATCTATTCCCTCCTACTGCTGAATTATCTCGAAGTTAGCCAGTGCCCGAGTTTGACAGAGATCCACGAGGACATCCAACATCTGACCAACCTCCAAAGCCTCATTCTGTGCAGAAACAAGCTCCGCGCCGTCCCGAAAGTAATCGGCAGCCTGAAGTCCCTGAAAGTCCTGGATCTCTCCGTTAACGACCTTAAATCGTTACCTGTCGAGATCACCCAGTTGAGGGAGCTGAACACTCTGAACGTGAGCTGTAACTCTCTGGAGGCTCTGCCGGATGGACTGAGTCAGTGCACCAAGCTCTCTACCATCAACGTGTCCAAGAACCGCCTGACCAGTTTCCCTGCTGACCTCTACTCCGAGCAGCTGGACCTGCTGAGCACCCTGGTGTCTTCTGATAACCTGATAGAACAACTGAGTGGAGAAATTCACAAGCTGTCTGCGCTAAAAGTGGGTAAACTTTACTTTATGGCATTTTCTATGTAAACAAAGACAAGACTGTGGTGCTACATTACCCTCTTGGGAATGACAATGGTTAATTTTTTTTCCCACCTCCTGCATGTCTTTTTCAGGTGCTAGATGTCTCCAACAACAAGCTGACGGAGATCCCCCCTCACCTGAGCAACTGCCCCAAGTTAAAGGAGATCAACTTCAAAGGCAACAAGTTGAGCGACAAGCGGCTGGAGAAGATGGTCAACGGGTGTCAGACCAAGTCCATCCTGGACTACCTCAGAGGGAAAGGACGAGGAAGACCAGGGGAGGATGGTGGCGATGCCGACGGAGGAGGGCGCAACGCCGACAGGAAGAAAAAGCAGCAGAGGAAGAAGAAGGGGAAAGAAGCCGAGGAGCAGGACGAGGTGGAGGAGCTGAACAAGATGGTGGTGAGGGTGCTCCACGTCTCAGACGCACCCACGGCGCTCACGGTTAAGGTCAGCGCTGAGGTTAAAGACGTCCGGCCGTACTTGGTGTGCTGCACGGTCACAGGCATGAACCTCAAAGCGGGGAACGCTCTCAAGAGGTTCCTGATGGCTCAGGTAAAAGCAGAATATTCCAGATTAGATTTTATCGTAGTCCATAAATGACATGCCCCAAAGTTACTGATCAATGTTTCTTTTCAGACCAAACTTCATGATGATCTGTGCGGCAAAAGAACCATTGCAACTATCGCAACCCATGATGCGAAGCTTCTCAAAGGTCCACTGATTTATGATGTGAAACCACCAACCCGACTAAAGGTTTGCTGCTAAAGACTGATTTACATTCTAAAATCTTCACGTTAGTTCAGTAGTTCTCAAACTGTACCAAGGGGTATAGTAAGTGCATGAAGGATTTCCTTTTTCTAAAATGGAACTCTGACAGAAAAAGTGTTTGAGAACCACAGTTTAGTCCAAGTTATATATTTTACATCAAGGCCTGTCATGATTAAAAAAAATACTGGATGATAAATTGTCTCAGAAATTATTGCAAGAAATGACAGTATTGTTTGTTTGAAGAACACTTTAAACCAGTGTTTCCCAAAGTTGGGACAAGTGGGGTCCTGAAACATCAAGTTGGGGTCCTGAAAAGATTTTTGGAATTAATGACATTTTTGCCTTAGTTGTTACAAAGGAGTGAGGTTAGTATATTTAAAATGGATAAATGTAGTATAAAAATATTGTTACTATGCCCATGTTTTGT